AGTGGAAATACAAAAATAACTTCATCAATTTATACAGAGTTTTTGTGGGGTTTTTTGGTTTTTTAAATTTTTGCCTTTTTGTCTTTTTGAGATAGGGTCTCTCTGTGCAGTTCAGGCTGGTCTTGGGCTCACTTCAAAGCATAGGCTAGTCTGGAATTTGCGATGATCCTTTTGCCTCGGCCTCTCAAGTGCTGGGATTACAAGAGTGTGCCACCACGCCCAACATATAAAGAGTTTAAAACAACTTTATTCTTTACCTTTGCAGAATGTTTAGAATAACCTTCGAGTATCTGTAACATTTGAAGTAAATAATTTCAGTTTGCAACTTAATTACAAAGCTAAGGAAATGTGCCTAGGCCAGATAACTATAGGCCCACTCTCAGGACACTAGATGAGCTGGACCCCACTGCTTTTGGCCTTGCTACCTGACAACAGGGGGGTTAAAAAAGGCAGTTGAGGGCTGGGGATTTAGCTCAGCGGCATGAGTGCCTGCCTTGCAAGTGTGCAGTCGTGAGTTCAGTCCTTGGTACTGATAAAAAAGAAAAAAAAAAAAAAAAGGCAGTTGAGGGGATTTTTGTACTGTTCTGTTTTCCAGGTGGGAAGAAAAAAGGAGTAGATATTCTCATATATTGGTTTTGGATGGGCCAAAGAATGAAAATGAGCTTGCAGTTGCTCTCTCCTATAGTAAGAGGAAAAAGGATTCAAAAATCTCTCAAAATGAGCTTTGGGCAGGCCAATAATATCACAACGATATTAAGTAGCAGATGAAAAGGTTAAATCAGTTCTGCAAAGCAAAAAATAAAAAAGGAAACACTACTCTCTTCAGCCTCCTGCTACCATTATAACAATTTATCTTCCCTGACCAATTAACCCTATGAATGCTCAATTTTCTTTGAAGGATTAGAGTAAACTTAAGATCTGAGGGAAGAGAAAAGAAAAAAAAATAAAACAACTTTGTGATATATTAATTTAAATGGATATATTAATTTAAAAATTGATATAAAAGGTTATATAGTCTTTTAACTTCATAGATCAGCTCTCATCAAAGAGAGCTGCAGAACACACACAGGCCTGCCAATCTGTGATGGTGGCCTGTCTCTGGCAGCATGCAAGCCAAGTTCCCATAGCAGCTGAGGGTCCGATAACAAGTGTTTTTTCTAAGCTAAAACCTCAGTACTCAGGTTTAATTGCAGTGTTGACACTTGGTGATAAGTGGGTTTTAGGTTGTAGTCTGTGTGCTCTGTCTCTGAAAGGTTCATCTTCACTAAGTTAGTGATACACAATTTCCTTGCTTTTTACCACACTGGGTGGACTGCACTTTAAACTGTGTGTACTGAAAGCAAAAATAACTGGAGATATTTCTGCTATGATTTTTTTCTTACTGGAGCCTCACGACAATGGGAAGATAAAATTTAAAAATAGGCAAGCTCCAAACAGATATAGATATATACAGGAGACAACTTGAGTGACTCCCCTTGAATGGAGAACAATTTCTGCAACTTTGATTATGTGGAGACTTATTGCTTTATACTGATATGTACAGAGTACCGATATGTATGTGGCTTCATAAGCAGGTCTTGATAGTTAATGATTTGTTTTAACTGGCTAATGTCTTAGACTCCTAAAAGGCATAACTGAAGTCAACACTACAATTCATCTCACCCACTGCCTGCGTGAGGGGTTTTTATTAATTCCTTCTCTCTTCAATTGGCTGTAAGCATTGCAAATAAGGCCAGCCAAGGTACTGGTGTGTAATCTCTAAAGCCATCAGACAGTCTCCTGTTTCCTAGAGTAGTTCTCTGTGTAATAGATATGGGCACAGCAGGATGGTAGAGTCAGTCAGCTCCAAGGAATGTCAACTGGGTATGAGCCTCCAAATAAAGAGGCTATGAGTCCCCAGGGGATGAAAGTTTGCATATTAGAAACTGAAACAACAGCCTCCAAAAACAATTCAGTTACTACCTTAACTGAATTATGCAGATTGATCCTTCTGCATTTTGCTATACTTGCATTTTGCCAAGATGCTTTTCTCACACCTGGCCAGCCAGCTCAAGTTACTCCCTAGTTACTCATTGTCACTCATTCTGGAGCCACGTCCTTCTCTGCAGGGTAATTCTGGGAGAGGCCTTGGATCAGGGCCTCTGTCCACACATCCTCATGGGGATTGGATTTAGGACCTCTTGACTGCCCTTAACTTGGCATGTCTTGGTATCTTCACTCTCCAGTGGGTTGCATTGGAGGTGGTAGACTGGAATTAACTTGCTAGGATTCCAATAACATCTAGATGGGATTATAAATACATAACTTTTTAGATTGTGAGGAAGCCTGGAAAAGTGGTTTATGAAAGGGTTTTGGCTCCGGCAGGACACTGTAGCCAGGAAAGCCTCAACCGGAAACAGGAAGCCCCTATCTCCCCTGCCCCTAGGAAGTTACCTGTGACACCATCTTCCCGCCTGTGGAGATTTACATATGGTGCCAAACCTAGGATCAATGGGCTACCTGTGCATCCCTAATGCATGCCTTAGTTTCCACCCCAAACCGAGGCTATTTACATGCCCCCACACCACGTGTCCGCCGGAGAGATTGCAGAAGCCAGCGCTGTGGGGGTGCCAGTCATCTCTCTCCGTGTTCTCAGAATAAAGGCCACTTTTTATTTTATACTTCTCATCTTTTAATATTTTTCATCTTTTGGAAATAATCCTAGTAGTTTACAATACTTGGGCTACTGTACTCAATATTTGGCATTACAATAAATATACTTTTAGAGTGTTACAAAGCAGTTTTCAGTTGGTAATGTTTTGTAAAATCAGATGTCTGATAAAGAGGCTGGTGATTTTCCAGCCTGAAGTGCACATTTTTGAGTGGGTCACTTCGTTTTTTTTTTAGAGACAGGGTCTCACTATATTGCTCAGGCTGGAGTGCATTGGCTATTCACAGGCGCGATCCCACTACTGATCAGCGCGGGAGTTTTGACATGCTCCGTTTCCGACCTGGGCGGGTTCACCCCTCCTTAGGCAACCTGGTGGTCCCCCACTCCCGGCAGGTCACCATATTGATGCTGAACTTAGTGCAACTTAGTGCAGACACCCGATCGGTATAGCGCACTGCAGCCCAGAACTCCTGGACTCAAGCGATCCTCCCACCTCAGCCTCCCAAGTAGCTAGGACTACAGGCATGCGCCACCACGCCCGGTGAGTGGGTCACTTTGAACTTTAAGAATGATAAACTCCCTGTGGGAGTCTAGCTGGTCACCTGGACTCAACCACACAGCATTTAGGCCTTATTGTTGCCCCCCAAAACATTCTAGAATCCTTTACTCATAATTCTAATTGCTTATATTCTAAATAAAAGCTGATACTGTCTGCCACATGCTGTTTCACTGGTTGATAGTGCACAATCAAAAGTAGGCAGAGACTCAATGAACAGAATACCAATGTGGGGGCTGCCAGTTTAGGACACTCTCCTGTGAGGTCATAAACTATGAAAACATTATGAATGCTGGCTGGACTATTGAGTCTCTTGTGAAGGGCTTCATTTTAGATGGACTCATCTAGATATATGTCTAATTTATGACTCCTACTGAAAGGTAAAAGCTAAACTACACAGATTAATAATCCCCCGACCACTCTTCAGAAACTGGACTCTTAATTTCCTTTTGGTGATATCTACTTCTTCTCTCTCTTCCTTTTTTTTTTTTTTTTTACTTAGTATATTTCACTTTTTGGATGAGTTACAATTTGCAACAACATTGTGATGGTTTGATTCAACACCACTTATCTGTTCCTGAACCTTCCACAAAATACTGCCACTTGTCATCCATACTTGAGACATCAAAATGACAACATAGACAACAAAATCCTTTCAAACTACTTTCTAACAATTAGTCTGAAATCCGTGGGTCAACTAAATTATTTAGACTGAAAATAGTGGCAGGCCAATTGAGGCCATTTAATCTGCATTATCTGATTATTGTGCACCCTGATAAGTGGTAGTGCCCTCACAATTATACAGTCCTGGTTTTTAGGGAATCATCCATGTCCTATAAGATTATAGTTCTTGCGTGTGTGCCCCATAGTGATACTAACTCTACACTAGATGGTCAGAGTTGTCCTGTGTAAAAATCAATGCCTAACTTTAAGAAGTTAACACAAAAACTCAAAAATGAAGCCACATAGCCTTAGAAGTAGGTCTTGATAGTTAATGATTTGTTTTAACTGGCTAAGTCAGACTCTTAAAAGGCATAACTGAAGTCAACACTACAGTTGATCTCACCTACCACCTGGGTGAGGGTTTTTTATTAACAGTTTTATTATAAATACCTGGCAGCCAAGAATCAATGGGATACATAGAAAAGGCACAGTGTTATCCTTAGAAGCAGCTGCTTGCAATTGTGGCCCTTGGCTGACATTAGTAAACTCAACTAGTAAAAAACAGTTCTCTACATAGATAAAAATTTCCACAATTGAAAAGGCTGCCTCATTAGGCCTAGTTTGTACAAACAATATGTGTTATTTAAATGCTTTCCTTCTGCCAATCTGTATTTTTAGTTGATGGCACCCACAGAGTAACTACAAAATAAAGCACTTTTGAATGCTCGTGAGATAAACTATTACCAGGATTTCCCATGCAAAAAAGATCACAGAGATGTTGCTGCATTTTCACTGCTGGGAGAAATGTGCTATGTGATCCTTCATAAGAAGGACAGAATACAATTTTAAAAAATATTTTATTATAAGGTAATTGTAGAGTTAGGAAAGAGTTACCAAAACAGGATAGTATGTGTTCTTCTGTCAGTTTCCACTTACAACACCTTACATAATAATACCACTCTGCTTACATATCTGATTTTTTAAGTCTTTCATCAGGCTTTTTTTTTTTCTTATAAGAACCTGGAGTACAAGGACTAAAACATGAAATGCTAATCACTATTTAAAACTCCACGTACCTTCCACTGATAGCATCCAGAGGTTACTCCTGTTGATGCTAATCCATATCCTTTTCCTCCACTGCCATGAGTTAAAACCTGTCCATTCTCCACTAGGCAACACTGAGCTTTCTCTGCATCAAAAGATACTTCTTGTATAGGAAGGTTTTCATCTTCTTCTTCCAACTCTCCTTGCTTCTACCAGAAAGGAAGATAGGTCAATATTTTGAGGGAAACCAGGTATTTAATATATTCTGAGGTTTCTTGGCTTAATCCCACACACATTTATTAATTTGGTACCAATTATCAGTTATTATACAAGGCAATGGGAAAACAACATTAAACAAAGCAGGGATCCTGCCCATAAAAGACCTTATTTTCTAATTAAGGGAAAAAGACACATAATGTCAGCACTGCAGTGTAAACACAAAGCAAAAGTACATGTCTTAAGCATGCTTGAGAAGAAGATAAACCTTCAAACAGAGTAGCTTCTGAGTGGATCCTTAAATGATGAAAAGACATTAAGCAGATGATCACAAAAGAGAAAGACACGTTAGGCAGTGTGTACAGCATGTGCCAAGGCACAAAGGTACAATAGAGTTCAGTGATTTAAAATCATTGCCAACAGGATGGAATGTATAGAGGAGGAGTGTCGTGAGTGTCTAGTGCACTCTGGACTCCGGGAAAGGCACACACGCACACACAGACTGGGACACGGGGGTTGCAGCACTTGGAAAAGAAAACAGAAGAGACACGGCACTTGCTACTGCCTGCACTGCACTGCACGCATAATCTTTATTTTAGGATTCTTATATAGTAAACAGGATCAGTTCACAGAGCCCAGACAATTAAGTAGTGAAAAAGCATTCTTTGTGACAAGCTACAATGTGACAGACTACAATGTTTATTCTAAACTATCTAAGTGAAGTAAACAACCACAATCAGTTCTCCTAGCTCCTCTAGCCCAGGAGGAAATTCATTAGCCCAAGAATGATGTTAATTATGTTTGTTGCTAGTGTCACAACAGGTGTTGGGCCACTTCCTCATGACTGCAAAACAAAGCCAGGTCACACAGTATGGTTTCAAGAGGGTGAGAAGATCTCACTGAGAACAGGCATTCCTGTCCTGCCTCTGTCTCGCATACCGGGGGCTATTGTTTACTGCAGGTCCGAGGGGGTTGGGGCCTTCAAAGTGACACCTGATCCCCCACAGAGGAGAATAATAAAAAACAAGTTCAGGAAAAAAAAAAGACCACACAAAATCATGGAAGGTCTTGTATTCCATATTAAGTTTAAACATCATAGACTGGGGCTAGGGATTTAGCTCAGCGGCATAAGCTCCTGCCTTGCAAGCAGGCAGTTGTGAGTTTGATCCCTGGTACCGATAAAAACGAAAAAGACGGGGGGATTGGAAAATGGCGGCGAGTTAGGGGATCGAGCGAAGAATCTCTCCAGAGAATTCAAACTCAAAGATAAAAAAAGACAGCATGGAGAGGACCAGACAAATCGATAGCGATTCTTATTAACCAAGACAGTACAACTGGAGGATTTAAAGTCGTGCTGAGACCGGAGGCTACAAATCCCGTGCCCTTAAATCAACAAACAGACTCATGGACCCAGCACGAAAAGCTGAGTTGCTTTTGGAGACCGCGGGAAACTGAGACCCAGATCGAGACTCCAAGTAGCAGCCAGTTCTGCACCGCTGCACCAGAGCGGATGTACAAAGCTCTGGCGATTCAAATCTAAACGGTGCACAGAAATCTGACCGGTCATCGCTGAGCTGCGAGTGGGGGAAAAGTGGACAGCTTGGTGTGCGGCGGTTCCGGAACGAGGACTTGCACTGGACTCTGGTGAGTACAGAAAACCCCGCCGCTGCTGGGTTTGGCCAGAGAACAGCTGGCCTGCCACCATGGGGAAATCAATAACACAGAGTCTGGTGCAGACATATTAGCCTGGCGGCAGAAATCGCAGCTTGGTGACATCACCAGGTCCCCCTGTAGGGAGGGCTGGTGGAAGACATCTTGAGTCCTGGCAGAGCCTGATTACTTGTTGGCTTCAGCTCCACACAGAGAACTTAGTGGGAGCCATCTTTGTTTTGGGCAGATCTGCTTTTCTGGTGCACCTATCACAGAGAGGTTTGGAAGAGAACGGCTGGGACCTGGGCAGAATCCTGTGCCATTACTCAGCTGCTTCTGATTCAAAGAGAACTGGCAGGAGCTACTGGGGCTAAACCAAGCCTCTGCTTGGGGCCCAATAAGCAGATACAAAATAGTCACAACTCAGTGACAACCAGAAAGTACAGCCTAATTTATGAACTAACTGACACAGAGGCTAGAGACTAGACTGTACCGCCCCTACATCCCAGCCTACCCCAGATAACAGCAAATTGGGGAGGACAGCAAAAACTCAAGCCAGCACGCTTCTGAAAGGCCCTAAGCAATTTGGAGAGGGCCAGAGAACTCCAGGACAGTCTGAAAGAAACCAGAAACATGACAAGAGATAAAAATAAAAAAAAACCTCCAGCTGTTCAACAGGAGAAATTAAACCCAAGAGAACTAAACACTGAAGAGAACAAGCACAGTAACCATCCTCTACTCGACACAGCATCAGCCGAAATTAAAAAGTACTTACATGATCTCATAGAGGAATTTAAAGATGTACTCCTGATCCAAGTGAGGCAAGATATAAAGAGATTAATTAAAGAAATGACAAGCCCCGCCCAAGAGAACACAGATGGAAGAACTGAGGAAATCAGAAAAGAAAGAGAAGCATCTGAAGAAGAATTTAAGCATAACTTAGAATACATGAAACAGATCCAAAGAGAATATCAGGAAACTCAGAACTCCATTGAATATTGGCAAAATGCCTTGACAGAAACTAAAGACAACCTTCTGAAACTTGAAGAGAGATTTAGGGCTTATGAACGTGAAAGAAAAAGCCTCTTAAAAATAACAAGGAACCAGAAAGAAGCAATTCTAAAACTGGAAGATGATAAAAAGATACATAACCTAAGGATAAAGAATGTGAGTGAGGAAGCAGGAACATCCAAAAATGAAATACAAAAAATATTCACAGAGATATTAAAGCAAAATTTCCCACGTATAGCAAAAAAGAAATGATATCCAGATAAAAGAAGCATACAGAACGCCAGCTACCTACAACCAAAACAGATCTACGCCTAGGCATATAATAATCTAGATCCCAGAAATCCACCAAAAAAACAGAATATTAAAAGCAGCCAGAGAAAGGATGCAGGTTACCTATAACAGGAAATCTATCAAAATAACAGCAGACTTATCAACACAAACTCTTAAGTCAAGAAGGGAGTGGGGAGAAATATTCCAAGTCCTGAAGGAAAAAAATATGCAACCTAAGTTCATATATCCGTCAAAACTCTCTCTAAAAATTAATGAAGAAATAAGATACTTTCAAGACAAGGAGGAACTGTGGGAGTTCGTGGCCACCAATCCAACCCTACAGAGAGCGCTGAAGGACATTACAGAGAAAGAGAGGAAGAGATATCAGGATTACAGCTACAGTGGCAGAGAAGCCTCAGTGAACGGGGCAGACCATGGAATGAGGGAATAAGGTGGACAAATTATAGCAGAAAAGTGGAGTAGCAGACATGAGGCAGAGACGGTAAGCTAGTGTTTAGTAGAGACAGCTCTGAAACTATATTTAAAAAAAAAAAGCAGAGGTCATTGCTAATGGTGTATAATGATTTAAAAGACACAGTAGTCCTAGTGACATATTTAGATTGAATTAAATTTGTTCTGGTCTGTCCACTCATATCAGATTTGAGGACACAGACCTCTAGAACCAAAAATAGCAGGTTATACCACGGCAACTATCCTTACTTTCCTATTGACTTAGGCTGAAATTCTGTATTACTTACATTGTCTTACTATGACTGATCTTAATTGTATCTGAATCATAAGACTATTGGTTGGCCTTGACTGATCCTATTTGAAATCGGTATGCATGTTAGAATCAACCCTAAAAGTAGAGGAAACTACTCTGAGCATGACAAGATGTAAAGGATATCCATACTGGTATGAATCAGTAACAGCTCTCAAATACTACAATGCAGTCAAAGATAAGTTTTTATAAAAATAGGTGATAGTATGTTTAACTATAATAAGCCAGTGTTGTCAACAAATCTATTGAAAATAACAAGAGAAAACATAGTAGCTACGGAAGATCATTTATATTATAGTTTTATAAGTCCTATCCATTGCATGTTTATCTAGGAAATTGTTTTGTTGTCTTGTTATGACTTGGTTTTTCCTATAATACAGAGAGGATAGGAACAAATACTCTGAGGAAGAGACCTGAAAAACCCGAGGCTTATTTTGTAGCATTATAATATAAATTCTAGCAATCTATTGCTTGCTGATTAAAATGACTCTGGACTGGTTTCTTCAGCTCAACTTCAGCATATGCAGAGATGGGGACGGCTATCACAAAGAGAATGAGAGATGCGATGGTAGTTGGTATTGTCTTCCCTAATTTGGAACTTGAGGACCTAAAAAGACTCTATCATCCTGTAATGATTTGATTAGTTCTATAATATGCAATAAGTATAGAAAGTGGGTGAAGTTAGGGACAACTATTTGTAAGAAGCTAGAGAGAGTTAGATAAGGTAGATCTCCAGTGGACTTGCTTTGAAATCTGTATTTCTTTAAATTGTTTTTTATTTTTTTAAAATGTTCTGTTCTGTTTTGATATGGTTAACCTTATCCTCTTAGAGATGTAAAACAAATAGGTGGGACTGATAATCATACTACGGAGCTTTTGTTCGGCCATAGAGCAGAATGGTTTGTAGGGTCATTTTTTTTTTGAATGTCATTCTATATACTTTAATTCTATAACCTGAACAGCCATTTCGAAGATGACAATTTGTAACTTATCAACTGGCAATTTTTTACCTTTTGTTTGTCTGTAATTTAGAATTATTTCTACCCTTTTTTTAAATCTCCATGTATTTTTTTTTCGTTTCCTTTTCTTTAAATAAAAAAAAAAAAAAAAAAAACGAAAAAGACAGAAAAAAAAAAAAAAACCACATCACAGACCAAGGAATGCCCATGCAGATAACTTACATAAAAGATCCATAATTAGATCTGTGCCTTAAAAATATTTTACCAGGGATGTTAGGATGAAGAAAGACAGACTAATCAGGAGACTGCTAAGAGAAAGATGGTAATAATTATCAAGGGTTTAAATTCACCCATTCAATGGACATTAACTATGTACCTACTCTATCCCAGAAAGTTTATCATGATTTTTATATTCAGTAGTATATAAAGATAAATAAGATCTCGAGTCTCATATAATATACTTTGGGAGAGGGGGACAAAAATAAGATAAAACAGTCAATAAGTGCCATGTTGAAATTAAAACAGGTGATGTGACAAAAGGTATCTGACAACTACTCTAAACTGACTGGGGAAGGACTCTCTGATACTAAGTTTTTGAAATATATCCACAGGGAATATCCAGCTTAAAGACTGAAGGAAAGAAGAAATTTCAGTGTGTTCATCAAAAAGTTACAGGTGCCAGGTGTGGTGGCACATGCCTGTAATGTAAGTTACTAAGGAGATTGAGGCAGGAGGATTGCAAGTTTGAGTCCATCCTGGGAAATTCAGCAAGATTAAGTCTTCTAATAAAAAACAAAATAGGTTTGGATGATATAGCTCAGTGTGAAGGAGGGAGAAAAGAGGGAAGGGAAAAGAAAGGAAGGAAGACGGAAGGTGTTCAGTGGGCAAAGGCAAACAAGATCTAGATTTTATCCCAAGAATGATGAAAAATACCTGGAGGGTTTTAAGCAGGCAGTCAACTTTTTGTGATTAACAATTTTAAAAGATCACTCTGGGTCCTATGTAGAGAGTGGACTACAGAGGGAGACACCACAAGTTGAGATATACCCTAACTATACTATTCCTGTAATCTCGGCAGTGGAATACCCTGGAATAAGGTAGTTATAGAAGAGATGAGGAGGTGGGCAAGTTTAAATTCTATTATAAAGGGAAGCCAACAGAAGAGCTAGAGATTGCACACATGGAGAAAACAGCATGCATGCATGAGGGTAATAAGAGGAGGATTGAGGATGATGCCTAGGTTTCTGTGCCTCAGTGTTTAACTAGGAGGCTGGGAAAACCCTGAGAAGGAACAAAATGTGATAATACTAAGACAGCTAGTATCTTTACACACTAATTAGAATTCAAGAAAAATGCCAAAATTTTAAATAAAATTTGGGGATTAATGGCATATGGGCCTGAATAAAGTTTCTTTGGAACTTTATTCTTTGGAACTTAAAAGGGGTAAGAGTGATGGTTGAAAAAAAAGAAAGGATAACAGGAGTAGGTCTTGTAATAGAGTTCCACATTAAGATTATATCAAAAAGGAAAAGTCTTATAGAGTAAGAGACCATTCTAATAAGGTAGAAGAAAAGCCAGTAAAATGCAGAATGATGAAAACTAAAAGAATTAAAAGAGTGTGTATTTAAGAGCTATTTAGGAGATAAAATCAATGGAGCCCAGTGGATACACATACGGAGACATCAGCAGAATTTAGAAGTCCTAGGAATTCAGGTTTAATGAAATAATAGAAATAGTGATATCATTACTCAGAATGGGACAGGAAGGGGAAGGTTTTGAGGCAGAGATACTTTGGACAGCATTTAAGCTAGGAAGGCACTGCATGTAAGTGAGTATGGTCATGGAGAGGAGTAAGCCTGCTGGTAAACTGGGCATGGTAGCATATACCTGTAATCCCAGCATGAGGGACGTTGGGCAGGAGGGTCACCATGAATTGAAGGCCAGTCTGGGCTACATAGTTGAGTTCAAGGCCAGCCTGATTTATTTAGTGAGACACTGTCTTTTAAAAAGGAAAGAAGACAGACAGACGGTTGGTAAACCCTAGAAGGGAATTTTGACAGAATATCAGTATTTTGAGATGGAAAGAAGGTGAAAGTAGCACCAAATAAGTCAATTCCAAAGAGAACCAAGGATTGGGAGAACTATGTAGAGATTCAGGAAAAGTATTGCTTTAAAAACAACAAAAAGCTGACATTTCAAGAGGTCAAATAAAATATAGGCCATAAGCAGGCAGTAGTGCTTCTATATCCTGAGTTCTGAATCTGCAGATTCAATCAGCCACAGATTGAAAAATAAATTTGGTTTTTTTTTCAAGTAGCTCAGATTACAGATACATGTCACCATCTCTAGCTGGAAAAGAATTTTTTTTTAATCTGCAACTATACTGAAAATATACAGACATTTTTCTGGTCATTATTCTCTGAACAATATTTTAAAACAACCATTTACATTGTAATAGGTATTAGAAATAATCTAGAGATGAGTCAAACGCATGAGAGGATACACTTAGATTACATGCAAACACTATACCAACTTTTAGAAGGGATTTGAACATCTACTGATTTTTGCATTCCTGGGAGATCCTGAAACCAACTCCCTCTCAATGCTGAGGAACACCTGCACACTATCCGGTAATGAACACCTCCCTTCAAAATTCCATTCTGCTATCTCAATAGAAGATGAAACAGTTGGGTTGAAGAGACAATGAGAAGGAAGTGCTGAGGCAAACATTATTCTTCTGAGAAGTTTAGTGGTGAAGTACAGGAGAAAGGATATAGAGAGCTTTGCTGATACAAATGTGAGGGTAGAACATGGGTCTAAACTGAGGTAGAAGAAATCGGCAGAGGACACAGAATGCAGAAAGGGGAAATGAAATAACTGAGAGAGCAAAGTCCTCGAGAGGACACCGCATCCAGAGACAGTGACAGTATATTCTCTTGTAGTGTTTAAAAACAACATTTTGAAGAATTGATTACCTGTGATTTTATTTCTTGTTCTTTTTCCTTTATCTGAATAGCATGTTTGGCCTGAGCAATGGGAGTATCCCACATACAGTCTGATAGAAGGGAAAATAAGCATTCCACAACCTCACTTATGGAAGTCAAAAAGACAAATTTATTTTAAAAAATTAAGTAATTAAAAAGAATTTTAAGTATTTTTAGAAAAAAATATAACAAGTACTATTAAATCACACATGAAGCATAAGTGTCCAACAGCTAGTTTTGGTGTTGTAAGTTGTTTTTGTTGTTGTTTTATAAAGATTGCTAAGCCACTAGAAAGTGGGTTCCACTGCTCTTACGTTGCCTTACTATATATGGACCTCTGATGAGGCTGTACAATCTCACACATTTCTCTTTTGAAAGGCCAAACCTCATGAGAAATTCCACAGACTGTCCTTTTCTTTTGATTTTGCAAGTATTTCCTACCCTCTGCTTCTCAAACCTTATAACTTAATTTCTTTCTCCTTGAGAAAACTAATAAAGAAATCAGTCTTAAAACTGGAAATTATACTACTGAAAAAATGACACACTTATAACTGAAGAAATTATGTACAAGTTTAGATCCTGGGTGAATCACAGAGCAGAAATGAAAAAAAAAATCTAGAAACTTTAAAAATGTAAACCTGGGCCATTTGGTCATCTTCCACACCAGATTCACAAGCCGGCAACACAGCTTCAAGGACATGCAGCGCAAGGAGTCTTGTTCTTAAGTTCCCAACTAGAGGAATACCTGGTGAGGTAAAGACATTTCCCATCTCAATGTGATAGAAATTCAAAGTTAAAATGAACTTCTTGGAAAAAGTCCTGAGGTGGTTAAGCATTAATGAATAGAATTACATTTCAACCCATTATCCCATGAGTGCTGCACCCAACCTACACCCATTATATGCACATATAAATAATCAGTTTATACCTGAATTTTCATTTCCCACTAAAATAACTACTTGTACCATATACTGTGCTGTGCATCTCACCTGCTTTAACTTCTTTGATGCTCCCATACCCTGACTCACAGCCCCATTTTACTTAGAAGACTGTGGCTCAGAGTAGTTAAATCTGACCACAGCCACACAGCTCAGGAGCATGAGGATTTTTAAACAGGCCCTCAATCCCTAACACTCATGCTTATTCACACCCTCTGTCCATCTCTCTTGTCACAGATCTGACTGCCTCCCAAAGACTATGAGGGCTAATGAGGACCAAACAGTTTATATGTCTCTAAGGTTAAGTAACAGTAGAGACAGAAAACTGATGCATACACATATATTCATTTTTTCTACATATAATGACAACAAACCAGTTAAAAATAAATATCTAGGTTTTCTTTGTGCTTAACAATTTAATATACAGCCACAGTTGGTGGCGCATGCCTGTAATCCCAGTACTCAGGAGGCTGAGGCAGAAGGAGCATTCCAAGTTTGAGACTAGCCTGGGCTACAAAGTGAGTTCGAGGCCAGCATGAACTGCACTGTGATACCTTGTTCCAAAGAGAAAAAAAAAACAAAACAAAACAAAACAAGAAAAAGAAAAACCTGTTGTGAATTATACTAAAGAAAACCTGAAGTATACTGAAAATATAAATATAAAATAACACATAAAATGAAATATCATATTGTGTTCTAGCAATTTTAAAATATACAAAGGATGATGAAAGAGTTCTGGAAATGGATAGTTGTACAATGCTTCTACTTTCACAGTTTGATGACTCTGGCAAAACATCCTGTAATTTTTTGTTTAACCTGTTAAAGTTATTGTGTTTTCTTTTTCCCTCATCCAATGTCGGGGATTGAACCCAGGGTCTTATACAAGCTAGAAGAGCACTCTACCTCTGAGCTATAGCCCTTGGTTTGTTTTTATGATTTGAAACTTTGTAATTTTTTTGTTTTGTTTTGTTTTTATGGTATCAGGAATTGAACTTAGGACCTTGTGCTTGCCAAGCAGGTGCTTGTGTCACTGAACTAAATCCCTGGCCTATTTACGATTGAATAATACTTCACTCTATAGATAATGCTGATATAGGGGAAAATATAACTTGCAACCTGCTAGATGTCAGATATGCCCAATTGTGAAATTGAAGAATGAATTCTAAGAGACAGCAGAGGTTAATAGGAGTTCCAAAAATTTTATTGAAAGATAGGTCCTGAGAGACAAGAGGGAACCCAAAAGTGCATTGCCACTGATACTGCTTCTCTTAGAATATTTTATAGAGCAAAGTTTCAAGGCAAGTACAAAATCCTGAGGTAAATACAGCTTGGGTCAAATTCATCAACTGCTAAGAGTATGACTACAGCTGTTTAGCTAATATTGATCCAATAAAGAAGCAGGTTATGTAGCAAGGGTACAATGCAAAGAACAAAGGCGTTTTGGGGAAGGGATGGGTCTTGGATAACCTGTGTCCATCTGCACTTTAGTGAGACCAACTGTAGTATAATTACAGGTTACTGCTTATCTTTTAACAGTGGCATGTAGGCCTTGCATCTTTATCTCGACACCTAAACTTCTTTAGATGCACCTCCAATGACAGTTCTTTTTTTTTATAAGCCAGTCAAATTTAGCAGTGGGGGGGGGTGGTATACCAACTTTAGTGACACTAATGTTAATAAGTTCTAATAACCCACTGCCATCCGACCAGCCCCAATGACAGTTATAATATCCTCATTTTTTCTGCTATCTTTCTCAGGAGCCCAGTCCCTCTGTGACTTTATATTAATTTCTATCTAAGTTAGCTGCACCAATAATACTACATTTGTTTATTCATTCGTTGAGATCATAATTTATTATATTAAATATCTGTATCATTATGGAGATAACTTGATTATTTTGTAATTTAATTTCAGTTGTTTCCACTTTTTTTTGTCTTTTTCATTTTTATTGGTACCAGGGATCGAACTCACGACTGCTTGCTTGCAAGGCAGGCGCTTATGCCGCTGAGCTAAATCCCCAGCCCAGTTGTTTCCACTTTTTAACTATTAGGAGTTATGAGGTTCCTATGAACATTTACATTTATGTATATATTTGTTTGTGTGTGAAGATATGCTTTCAGTTCTCTTGTAGGCCTAGTGTAGACCTAGGAGTGGAGTGGCTGAGCCATATGCTAACTGTTTGTAACTTCTTAGAGATCAGCAAACTGTTTCCTATAGCTGACTTTTCATTCTTTTTCATAATATTAAGCACCTCCAGTTTTATCTTTTTTCTTCCTATTGATTAGGTAAGCTGATTACTTTTATTTTTATTTCACTGGAGAGCATCTCTGTGAAATTAAAATATCAGTCTATCTTTGAAATTTTCTAAGCTGCCTATTTCATCTTCATTATTCCTTTCTTGAAATTTATTGTGTTGCTTTGTAATTCTGAATTGTTCATTTAAATCTTACTTAGAAATGAAGTATTTAAGTTTTCATATATTTAAGTCACCTTTAGTTATATGCTGTTGATTTTGCATATAATTTTCTAGATAATACAGAGTTTTGTTTCTCCTTTTCCTCTTTTTCTTAGAAACTGCTTAGAAGAGAGTTTTCAAAATTTTATGTGCTTTTGTTAGTTTTACTTTTCTTTTTCCACAAGAATGTGATTTTAAAATTTGTACAGAATTACATGCACATTTATGAATTTCGAAAGATGGAGAGTGAATATCCTTTTACTTATACACTGAGTAACTCAGGTCGCTTATCCCGAAAAGCAACTAGTATTTTTTTTCGTATCTTTCTAGATTTTAAGAACATGTTTGTGTTTATGTGCACGTATGAATATGTAAATCATTTTAAGTTTAAAAATATTCTACACATAAATATTGTACATTTTTTTCTTAATATGGTGTCTTGGAGAAAGTTCCATATAAATACTTTCTGGTTACACCACTTAATGGTGAGAAATATGGTCTGAATTGTGTATATTTTGAAATTCTTTGTTGAACACAGTCAATTTGAAGAGATTTTCCATTGGCACTTACGAAGAAGGTAGTGCAGACTTAAAGACATATCACATGTTTTCTCTAATATGTGGAGTCAAAAAAGGATGACCCGGAAGTATAAGGGCGATGATTATTACACAAAAGGAAGGGAGTAAGGGGAGAAGGAGGGGAGTGTAGGTTGGGGGAATGGGAGATGGAAAAAAGTTACTAATGATATTATTAAAGATTGTCATGATATCTGGGTGTGGTGGCACATGCTTGTATTCTTAGTATTTGGGAGACTGAGGCAGGAGGATTGCTGTGAGTTTGAAGCCCCCCTGGACTACAGAGTAACACTATATTGCAAAAACACGAAACAAAACAAAACACCCCAAAAAGAACATTGTGATGTTGACATGTATAGAGGTCCTTTTCCCATGCTTGTTACAATCTAGGCAGTTTATATTTGTAATCCCATGGAAACATTATTGAAATCCTGGCAAATTAATTTCAATATGCCACTTCCAGTGCAACCCATAGCGAGAATAAAGACACTGAGTTATATTTGCAATTAAGGGCAGCCATGGGGTCTTGAGTCTGGTCCAGATGAGGGTTCATAGAACAAAGGCTTGGAAGGGAATGGTTAAGGATGAGTGACTGGAGAATGGTGGGAATTAGGCAAGCAGTTTGAGCTGAGCTAGCTGGGAGGCTAGAGGACACCTCTGTAATATGCAGAGAAGGATATGCAGAAAGACCAATTTACATACCACAATTGAGAACGCATTTAATGTTTAGGGGGCTGGTGCAAACCTTTTCTGCCCTGTGAAGTCATAGCCTCTTATCTCAAGGCTTGAACCCAGCTGACAGCCCTGGAGTTGTGTGGCTTCCTCATCCCACTAGGATCAACCATTCAGATCCTGAGATGGGCAACAGGGCTGTTGCTTGGCTTCAAAGATTACATGTCAGTAATCTTGAAAGGAAAAGGAAATAGCTTAATTAGCTCTGTACATATCAGTACATGGAGATAGAGCCAAGTTTAACTATTGTGGAGTTAATTGCTCAGGGAGAGCCATCCAAGTGGTCTTCAACAGACATGAATGTATTTATGGTGGAGTATCCACAGTACTCTGTTAAAGTCAATTAGCAGGTAACAAAACAGTATATGTGATATGTGGCATTTTCATCCTCTCCTCTCCTCCCCTCCTCACCCCTCCTCTCTTCTCCTCTTTGACAGGGTCTTGCTCTGTTGTTCAGACTTAGAACTCTGTGTAGTCCAGGCTGGCTTCAAATTCACAGTGATCCTTCTGCCTCAGCCTCCCAAGTACTGGCATTATAGGTGTGTGCCACAAACACCTAGCTAACTTTGTATTTTTGAAAATGTGTTAATGTATAGGGATAGGAAGAAGTTTAAAATGGTTTTCACTATTCTTATTTAAATCTGCAGGAGTCAGATGCTGAACATATTCTTTTTGTTTAAGAGTATTTTCAACCTGTGCTATTAAAAATATTTTTAAGAAGAGAAAATGAAGGTGAGGTGAAGTGGTGGATATGTTAATTAGCTTATTTGTAGTAATCATTTAGCAATGTATATGTCTCTCAAAACATATATACCTTAAATATACTCAATAAAAATTTTAAAAAGGCTGTGTTTGAACATATATAATTTATTTATTTTTAAAATTTTATTTAAAGAAAGACTATAAACAAAACAGAAAATGGTAGAAATAATACATACTTTCAAAGAAGAAAACTAGTTGATGATTATATATTGTCCTCTTACAAATAGTTCTTCAAGTTACAAAAGTGAAGCATACAAAGTGGGGATTCAAACAGCGAGAGTGTAAA